CAAAGGAGGCACGTGCTGTATGAAAAAGCTTATTTGAGGACATGCCTTTATATTTAGAAATAAGCAGGAAAAAAACATAACTACAGTTGACCCTTGAACAACTGGGGGGTTAGGGACACTGACCTCGCCAAGCAATGGAAAATCTATGTGTAATTTTTGACTCCCCCAAAACTTAACTAATAGCCTACTGTTGACTGGGAGCTGTACTGCTAGTACAAACAGCCTATTTACACGTAGTTTGTGTTATATGTATTATATATCTATTATATATTTTAATATTATATTCTTACAGTAAAATAAGCTAGAGAAAATAAAATGTTATTAATAAAATAAATAAATAAAATTTATTAATAAAATAAATCATAGGGAAGTGACAATATATTTACCATTCACTAAGTGGAAGTGGATTACCATAAAGGTCTTCATCCTTCTCATCTTCACCTTAAGTAGGCTGAGGAGGAAGAGGAAGAGAAGGGATTAGTCTTGCCGTCTTAGGATTGGCAGAGGCAGAAGAAAATCTGTGTAGAAGTGGACCCGTGTAGTTCACATCCGTCTTGTCAAGGATCAACTGTATTGTCTTTGTAAAAAGAAAAAAAAGGGCTGAAAAAAAGCTGGGAAAAGAATCTTCTTGCCTGGTGATAATACAGGAGTGTATCAAATTTGGGGTTGAATGATCATTTTATGTTTATAAAAAAGAAGAGGTTAAAAGAAAAAGTGTTGAGAAGCATGGCAGTGTATGCCATGATAGAAAGTGTATGCCTTTGATAGAAAGATCCTCCTTCTCTCAGCATGTGGATTTCTTGGAACCTGCCCCTTTCCCCCCTGTGTGAGATCAATCACTCTTATATGCTCCCATAACGCTTTGTTTTTAACCTCTAATATGTCAACCATCATCCTTTACTTTTAGCATATTAGGCTCTGATGTAGGAAATGTTTCTGAAAGAAATTTACAAGAGCCCTGGTATCCCACTGAGCCAGTTGGAAACTTCAGTGTGCTAGAAATCATTTTGACCGGATTCCAGGACTCTACCTTTAGACATGTTGAAATTTGGAGGTGAACCATGAGGAGTTAAAATTTTTACATGCTTTGGTTCATAAATTATACTTAACAAAGTGCTTGAACTTGGACTTTAAAAAATATCCTTGCTTGTTCTAGAAGCAAAACAAGCATTTAGATCAAGGCAGCGTGGGTATATTCAATTATTGGTTTGTTCATTCAATAGTCATTAATTGAAAATGACCAATTGTAGTGACCTGTCCCAAGTGAGGCTATGTAGTAGCTGTCCCTTCTGTGGTCTCATCTATCCCTTTGCCTTTTGTCATTTGCCTTCTCCCTCCTAGCAAGCTCAGGCCCATTCTTAGGGCCCATCCAGTCAAAGTATTAGTTGATGTGTGTTTAGGAGGGTATTCAGAAGAGCGGGAGGGGAAGGAGATTTGCATTTTAATAGGGAATTTAAATTCCTTATTATTTCAAGTTATTGGAGAAGGGAAGGATTTCTAACTTTTACTGAATTCCTAGGTGTGCCCAGCACTTGACATATATTATCTCATTTAATCCTTTAATCCTCTCAATAAGGCTATGAGGTAAGTGTTATTCCAGTTTTACAGAGGAGGAAGCTGAGACTCACGTTCGGTTACTCTCCATGTCTGGAAATAGATGGAACCTGGGCAAGAACTCAGGTCTTCCTCTAAAGGCCCTGCTCATTCTCCTCTGTCTGGGTGCCCCTGTACCCCGTTCTTCTTCCTGCCTTTATGCTTGTTGGGAACATCCTAGTACTACTGGAACATCCTGGTATCTATCCTATTTGGAATTAAAGACTGCTTTCTCGGCTGCCCCAAAGAGCCCTAAAATTGGCACATCATCTTCTTAACTTTCTTAGGAGTGAGTAAATGGCAACTTGGGTCACTTTAGAAAGGGATGCTGCCCTTTAGAGTGAGTGCATAGATCCAAAACAGCACAGATATGAGCTGGTTCACTACCTTGCTGCTAGTGAGGCTGTGTTCATTTTTTATTGTAAACATACCTTGTCTCTATTTGGTTCAAACCAGACATCAGAATCTCCAGCCAAATATGCTGTAAAATGTTACTAATGACCTCTTGCTAGTTAAATTTGAAGTCTTCTTTTCGGGCTTTAGTTCCTAAACAATAGAATCAGATATATTTGATATAGAATATTATTCATTTTCTGTATTTGATGTAGAGATTATTCACAGATGAGGAAATTAAGGCCCAGGAGGAGAAAAATTGGCATTCAGCAGTTCTTTCTGTCTGTGTTGCCATGTATTTGATTACTTAGTATCCATTTGAGGAGTCTAGGCTAGCTCCACCTAATTGAATGAGAAGATTCTTGAGCCTACAAGCTGTGCGTAGCACTTCATTGGAAGTCTAAGAATCTGTAGCATTTAAAACTTCCTCTGGCTTCCATGCCTTTAAACTTTCCCAGCTCTTCCAGTTAGATTATCTAGCCACTTCCTCTTCTTCTTCCTCCTTCTTTCCCTATGTTTCCATTGTGGGCATTCTCCAAGTGAATTGATCTTCATGGCTTCATCTCTTTCTCTACAACTGTGTCCTCGACTTCTCACCCAGGCCCTTGTTCCTTATTTCCTCTTTCTTAAAAGGACAGTAAGTCACTCGACATCTTTCTCAAACCAGTTCCTCCTCTCAACTCTGCTTCATCTATTGTTGTTTCAATGACCTGCTCTTCTAAGAATGCCACATTCTTCCTACATTCCAGGCTCAAAATCTGGGCTAACTTGATTGCTTTGTTCTTTTCCCCAGGATAGTCAGCCAGTCAATGAAAAGTAAAATCTTGCTTCAAAGATTGAATATTTTTATTCATGGTATTTGGTATTTTCAAAGACATGGTATCTCTCTCTTTCCATCTTCTTTATTGCAACCTCACATGTCATTGCTTTCTGCAACTATCCCAGATCTTTTCTTGAAATAATGGTAGCAAATATATGTTGAGTACTTACATGCATTGTGCTAAGCATTTTACATTTGTTACTTTATTCAATCCTTACAACCACCCTGTGAGGCTTGGTGCTATTTTCATCATCTTGCAAAGGAGAATACAGAGGTTTAGAGGAATTAGGTGACTTGGCCAATGTCATACAGATAGTGAGAGGCGGAGCTGTGACTCAGACCATGCCTGTTTTGTTCTAGAGCTGATGCTTGTTACTGGTAAGTTCTGCTTCCTGCTTAGGATATAGGTTGGTATCTAAGTAGAGGGGCAATTAGTAAATGTAAGTTTCCTTTTTCTGTCCATTACTTTTTCCCCACTCTATACTAAATTCATACAATTGCTAGGTGAATCAGTGAATCAGTGGTCCTCTCCCTGCCCATAGGACACCATCTCAACTCCTAATTTGCAATTCGGAGCTTACAACATGTAAATAGAAAGCACACGGAGGTAGAAGTTGGTTCATCCCTGGCTTTGCTACTAAACTTGTTCTGTAACATTAAACAAGTCATTCAACAGCTCAGCCTGAGCTTCCTCATCTGCCAAGCGAAAAGTTTGGTTGATAATTTCTTCAATTCTTTACATTTTTGTGATGCCATTATTCTGCCTTCCCTTGTTTTCTCCTCCTTTCTAGTAAAAACCCTTCCCTCTGTTGATACCTTCTTCCCAAGCACCCAGACCTTGTCTGCTCCCTCTTGGCTTCTACCACTGTGTGGTCGGTGCTGCCTTTTCCTCTTCCCACTGTGTCTTAACCCCACCACCCTTCCAGGCTCTTTGTCCTGCCTAAAGTTAGTCCTTCTCTCTACCTTTTCTAGGCATCTCCATGCTTAGATCTCCTGCATTGTTGCTCTCCTGTTTTCTGTTCATACATCTTGTCTTCTTAGATAGATGACAAATCCATGAAGGGCTGGTTAGCTGCTCTAAGTTTCTTTTGTGTACTATTAAGTACTAGCATAGGTGACTTTAAATGGAGTAGGTATTTTATAAGTAATTGTTAAATGACTGCATTTGGGCTTTATCTTGAGACCAGAGGGCCCGTCAAGGAATCAGAATACAGGAATCAGGACAGAATTGACTAGAGGGGTAAAACTGCTGGCAGACTAGTTAGGGAATTGCCGCAATCCAGGAAGGAGTCCTTGAAGGCCTTGCCTAGTGAGGAGGTAAAGAGAGAGGAGAGGCTTGGTTAGAGCTCACTGTCTTACTAACATCGTGGGCAGCGACCTCCTCTCCTCTGAGCGGCAGAGCCCACCAGAAAGCCAGGAAGAGGTGCTATGGGGCAGGTTCTGGCATTCCAGATCAGGGCTCCAGAGGGCGGTGACTATAACCCAGTATGGGGTGGGGGGATGAGGAATGTTACTTAGCACAGCCTGATTTAAGAGGTGGGGCAGAATCAGCAACATTTTCCCACTTACTTTCTTTGCCCCTATTCAGGCGGATAACGGCATAGGGGTTTGTAGCCAGAGGAAGTAGGGTTCTGCGAACATATTTAATATCTAAGGCTGTAAGGTCTGTTTTGGCCCTTCTGCTTGTTAACGAAGCACAAAGTAGCAGCTTGTCGCCCAATCCCAGTGCTTGATGGAAGCATGGGGCCTGGGGAATGCTGAGAAAAGTGTGGCCACTTTCCACTTGGAAATTCCACTTAAGAAAAAAACCCATCCTAAGCAGAACCTAACCTGGACTTTGAGGCAGATACGGAAACAGATTTCAGCCGTGATTGGCATGGTGGGAAGGAAGACAAAGTCTTAGGAAGGAGAACTGGTGAGTCTGAAATTAATTACAACACGGCAAGGGACAAACAAGGGAGGCCGTTGCCCTCCTAAGTCTCGGGAAGACACGTCAGCTCCAGCTCGGGCAGTTTCAGCCTGGCAGTCTGGCGGCCCGGGGAGGGGCGGCGGGTGGCTGTGGACGGGCTCTAGGGCCCAGCGGCCGGGCGCCGGGGCGGGGGTGGAGTGTAGGGTTACAGTGACGAGCCCGGGCGACCCTCCCCGGCCGGCGCGCAGGCAGCGGGGAGCGGGGAGCGCGGGCGGCGGCGTGAGCGCGCGGGACGCTCTAGGACCCAGCAGCGGTTGTCGGGTTTGGAGCTGGAGGTGAAGCCCTGGCATTTTTCTCCTTCCTGTGTAAATGGGGCTGATCGTCGGGCTCCGCTTCCCAGCGCTGCCCCACGCCATGCCCAGCGTGCTGCCCGGCGGCCGCCTTCGCCAGTCGCGGGACTGAACTAGCCATGGTCGCCTCATGTGGAGGGCAAAGTTGCGCCGGGGAACTTGTGAGCCTGCGGTGAAAGGTAACCGCCCCTGGTCGGGGAGCAGGGAGGGCGCCTCCGAGTCTCCCATGCGAAGGACCCAGCTGTCCGGCGCTCCCCGCCCCCTACTGCTCCGGGCAGGGGGCACCTCCTGGGGACCCGGGGCTGATCTCCCGGATTGTTTTATTTTTTTTTTTTTTAAAGAGGGTTCCCGTGTCACCCTCTGGTACCTGCGGGCTGGGCCTCAGCGCCGCGCCGCCGCGCGCCCCACTGGAGACTGGGAAGTTGTGTTCCCGCGGTGCGGGTCCCGGGGCGCCAGCGCGCCCCGACGCGGGGGCAGGCCTTTCCCGAGAGCGCTGCCATATGGCTGGACTCTCCGAGACGCGCCCGCGCACGGTCTCCGAGCGAGGGAGAGGGCGGAAGGGGGTGTCCGGTGGCCGCTTCCCTCGGCGCTAGACAAAGGCGCGCACACTGACCCGCCGGACGGGCTCCGGCCCTCGGGGCTGACCCTTCCTGTGCGCGGGCCAGACTCGACTCTGGCGGGCGGGGGCAGCGAAGGGGTCGCGCCCCGGACCTCGAGCCTCAGATTGCGTTAGCTGCCGCTCCTTCTTTGTTCTCCCCAGACAAGTTTCTTTGACAAACCGGGGAGTTAGATCCAGCTCTCCCTTGCCTGTTAGTGCTGCCTTTGAAAGAATCTGGTTTCAGGGGGAAAAAATTTAAACTTTCCAAGTGGAACTCGTTTTTCTTGGAATGTGACATTTGTGGCAGGAGGGAGATTGGCACGTCGGCCGATGACAGCCGAGCGGAGCCGGGGCACTGCGCCGTGGCAGGGGCCGAACGTGCCCCATGGGCAGCCGGGCTGGAGGACAAGGCGGCAGAATAGACGAGCCCTGGCGCGCACCTCGAGGGCCTCCGCCACCTGGACCAAGCTCTCGGCGACGTTTCCAAGTTTCCCTCCTCAGAACCCCAGGCTGAGAATCTCGGTTCCTTGCGCGCAGCGTCCGCGCCTCTCTTCGCCCTACTCTTCTTGCATCTTAATTGGTGACTGGGAAGACTTTCCTTTTCCATTTTTGTTCGAAGGTTTTTGCCATTTTGGCTTTGGTGTTGGTTTCCTGTCTCCAAGTGGCAAACGCTTTTTAGCCCGTGTAGTGTGTGGATCACTTGGACTGGTGCTTCCATAAACCAAGGCCCTGATCGTGCAGCTTTGCCTTTTGGACCCAACATTTTATCCCCTTGGTCTCTTAGTTCCCTTGCTCTGTGCAGTCCTAGTTGCCCATTTTCTTCTTCTGAGACATGTTAGGAGAATCGAGACTGTTAAACTGCTTATAAAAGTCACTGATAGTGGTGGGAGTAGCTGGTCGCCAGAGCCGCTGTTGATACCTCGAAGATGCTTTTGGCTACCCAAAGCGATAACGTGTTAGCTTGCTCACTGTAAGCGAACAGAACTGAAATAGAGGGATATTAATAGCTACAATTCCAGAAAAATTCCTCCCTTTTCGGGAAGCAAAAAGTCAGGACTTGAAACGCTAAACAATCATGCCTCCCTGCTTCCAAAACTGGCCTGTGGGTCACTGCCAAACTGGGTAAGATTTCCCCTGGCTGCCTACCACTCCTGGACCCGGGCAGCTGGGAAGTCAGGCCCAGGTTGACGATTAAGGATCCTTCTAGATTGCAGATTCTTGGGACTCTAGAGCAACGTGAAATTTACTTCCTACCAAGGTGCTCCAAGCATTATATTTTATCTACTATGAACGCTCTTTATGAGAATAATGTGGGAACAATACTGAAAAACATTTTGAACTGTTTTGAGGCGGGAGTAAGGGGTCAGAAAGCACTGATTTGAACAGAATGAAGGATAGCACTGATTTGACCACAGTGAAAAAGTGAGTAAGACTTAGAAGGTTTTAGACAGCCTCTACTCTTCCTGATGATGGTAGGTAGGGATGGGGAGGGGCTGTGGAGGGAGGAGGATATTGACTTCCTGGGTGGTACACTTTTGCTTTTGTGTGATGCATTTTTCAAGGTAAATAGGAAAACCTTTGTAAACCTCCCCCTTCTTTTTAAAATGCACAGGAATCTTCCTCTTTTAGGTTCTTTGCAGATGGTGGAGGATGAAGAATACTAATGTACTGAAGGGCATGTGGAGATCAAAGCATTTAAAAATACATCTTTTCATGGAAGCTAATGGAGGACTTTCAGTTTAAATGAGATTTTAAAGTGCTATCATTAAGAAAAGCACATGAATGCAGAAATGTGAGTGATTTTATAGGAAGGCACTCTACTGATTAGACTTGAGAGTGTCTGCCCTTGGCCAGATAGTCTGGAGGCTTCTGTGGGTAGAGCTCTGCTTGTTTTGATGTCTACCCCTGTGGAGAAGTGGGGACCCAGGACATAGGGGAAAGATGGCTGAACTAATTTAAACGAGATGGTAGTCTGGCTGGTGAGAGTTCTGTTGAAAAGTACAGCCTCTAGGTACAGTGCTACATTTCTTCATAGTAATTTGTGAAAATGCTTTGAAAATTATAAAACACTATATAATGTAAGACTTTTTAAAAAATAATTAGTGACATGAAACAAGGGAATTGCTAGTGAAAATTGTAAAAATTAGATTTTGGGGGCAATAAATCAAAAAGAAGTAAGTTTTTTAGACCTGTTAATATTTCTGATACACAAATTCCCCCAAAGGAACTTTTTTTTTTTTTTAGGTGGCTATCTTCATTTTAAATGCATATGAAAGCAGCTCAGGTCAGGAAATTCTGCAGTGTTTTGAATAATTTTTTTTCCTATTTTTTCATTAACATTGGTAGGCTCTTATGACCCAGAATTCAGTAGGTAATAGAATCCTTAAAAAGCAAGGGGTAGCGTGGAGGTCAAGTAAAAGGACATACTTGATTACAAGGTTTGTTGAAAATAGTCTGAGGTTTTTGAGGTTTTATTTTTTTTTCTTTCTTTTTGGTGGTTATTTTTGTTTGCCTAGTGATTTTTTTTTTTTTTTAATTTTATTTTGTTGGTTTGACTTTGTTTTGCCTTGAAGGAGAGGCACAGTGTAAATCTTGGCCATTGTGAGTAGTTCAGTACTCAACTTTTGCTGGAAGAAAGCCACTCCTGCTCCTGGGCTTATGTATTGGCACCAGGCCGAGTTCTTCTCTAACTTGTAAGGCCCTTGGCTCCACCCTCATGACCAGGCCTTGTGAAATCTTGGGGTATATTCATTTTAGACACTTGGAAACAGAACTCCTTGACTCCCAAAGGGGCTCACGCATCAGACATTTTTTTCCTTTTAGGAGGGGGTAGGAGAGTAGCTCTAAGGTGTTGGAAATGCATCCCTGTTAAGACTCTGGAGAACTGGATTTCACTTTTTAAAAACAAAGTCATGGTCCTATAGTATGTGTTTAAATCTGTGTTTGGGACCTTACTGGTCAATATTGCAGCTATATACTTCTTTTTTGTTTTTTTAACTTTTTATTTTGAAATGATCACAGCTTCATAGGAAGCTGCAAAAATAGTAGAGAGGTCCTGTGTACCCTTCACCCAGTTTCCCCCATTGGTAACATCTTACGTAACCATAGTACAATAGCAGAACCACAAAACTGACGTTGTTACAGTCCATAGAGCATATTCACGTTTCACCAGTTTTGCATGCATGTGTTTCTATTTCTTTTTTTTTTTTATTTTTTTTTAGAGACAGAGTCTCACTGTGTTGCCCGGGCTAGAGTGCCGCGGCGTCATCCTAGCAACCTCACAGCAACCTCAAACTCCTGGGCTCAAGCGATCTTACCGCCTCAGCCTCCCGAGTAGCTGGGACTACAGGCATGTGCCACCATGTCCGGCTAATTTTTTCTATATATTTTTAGTTGTCCGATTAATTTCTTTCTATTTTTAGTAGAGACGGGGTCTCGCTCTTACTCAGGCTGGTCTCGAACTCCTGAGCTCAAACAATCCGCCTGCCTCGGCCTCCCAGAGAGCTAGGATTACAGGCGTGAGCCACCGCGCCTGGCCCACATGTTTCTATTTCTGCTTGTATACTTCTATGCAGTTTTTTCACATGTAGATTCATGTTACCTCCACCATAATCAAGATACAAAATTATTCCATCATTTCAAGGCTCTCTCTTGTGCCACCCCCTGTATAGTTGCACCTATCCTCTTTTCTCCACCTTCTACCTTGTTCCTAAACAATAGTAACCACTACTCTATTGACTGTCTCTATAATTTTGTCATTCTGAGAATGTTACATAAATAAAATCATGCAGTAGTGACTTTTTGAGGTTGGCTTTTCACTCAGCATTATGCCCTTGAGATCCATCCAAATGTTTGCTCATATCAATAGTTTGTTCCCTTTTTTGCTGAGTAGTAATATATGGTATGGATGTACCATGGTTTGTTTAACCATTCAACTGTTCGAGAACATCTGGGTTTTTTTAGTTTTTGACTATTACACATAAAGTTGCTATGAACATTTGTATACAGGTTTTTGTGTAAACGTAAATTTTCATTTCTCTGAGATAAATGCCCAAGATTGATTGCTAGATTGTATGGTAAGGGTAGGTTTAGTTTTTTAAGAAATTGCCAAACTATTTTTTAGAGTGGCTATACCATTTTACATTTGCTACCAGCAACATATGAAAGATCAGTTTTTCTACATCCTCACCAGCATTTGGCGTTGTCATTATTTTTTATTTTAGTTGTCCTAATAAGTGTTCTAATCTTATTGTGGTTTTAATTTGCATTACCCTAATAGCTAATGATGTTGAACAGATTTTTATGTGCTTATTTGGTATCCATATATCCTCTTTTATGAAATGTCTATTCTTGTGTTTTGCCCATTTTCTAACTGAATTATTTATTTTATGGTTGAACTTTGAGAGTTATTTATATAGTCTGGATACAAGAACTTTGTCAGATATCTGACTTGTGTATATATATTTTTCTCAGTATATAGCTTGTCTTTTTATCCTTTTACCAGGATCTTTTGCAAAATAAAAGTTTTTAATTTCGATAAAGTCCAATTTATTGATTTTCTTTTCTTTGTGGATTATGCTT